TCTTAACCTGCGTCTGTCTGGAGCGGGAGATTCATGGCGACTCCCTCACTAAGCTTCTTTCTCCCAGCATTCTCTTCTGTCTACTCCGCCTACCTAATTTTCTGTCCTATGAGGGCCGAGGCAGTTTCTTTATTATTACAAGACCCACCTCCATCACTGTTTGTATAAGATTGTCTTTGATTACTTTCTCAGCATAGGGAGATAGTTATAAAAGTTACCGTTCTGTAATTAGTCCAATTGGTGTGGGAGAATTGTCTGTATTCTGTCAATCATGTTTTGAATAAATGCTGATTGGCCAGGCAGGAAGTATAGGCAGGTCAACCAGACAGGAAGTAGAGGCGGGGAGAAGAGAACAGGAAAATTCTGGGAAGGAGGAAGCCTATTCCTCACATCCTGCCCAGACCACCAAAGAAGCAGGATGTGACCTACTTCACTTAAAAAGGTACCAATCCATGTGACTAACATAGATAAGAATAATGGGTTAACATACGTTATAAGAGCTATTTCATTAACCTTTACCTCAGTACACCCCGATAAACCTCCCTCCTGACACAATAATCTGAATCAGACCAAATCAAACCAAATTAGAAAAAGCCCAGGTTTAATGTATACTAATGCTCCTGGATGGCTTTCTAGTCCCCTAGAGAGAAGTCTTGGAAGGAAGAGTGGAAAAACCACGTGATTCTCTGGGGTGCCCTTAAATACCCTGTGGGAGTGGTCTTGAGCATCTCTGGGGAGTGGTCATCATTTGGCAGGCTTTCTCAGGGGTGGAGTTTGGGCTGAGGCAACTTCCAGGGAAAGGGAATGGAACTTCAGCGGAACATTCCAGACTCTTTGGATATATGGATGCCAGGAGCTGGGGTGAGGCTTCACTCAAACACCTTTGTGTTAGATAACGTTACTAGACTCAGAGATCACAAAGATCCATGAAAGAATTGCAAAATCCAAGAACACGCATATGCAGCCTGTAAAAATTTATCTATGTAGTGCTCACAACCACCTTACCCTTCGGGATGAGCCACAAAGCTGTTAAGTAACTTGTTCAAAGTCACCCCGATAGCTAGTGGGGAAAAGGAACTAACTATGAGTAATATATCTCTACAACCTGTTTTTTGTTGCTTTGTCTCTGGGGACATAGTTAATGTCCTAAGAAAACTTAAGAGTCCAAAATATGAAAGTATATACATTAAATTGAGTAAATTAGTTCAGTGAGGCAATAGATAAGTTCAAATGAACAGTTGGGTAGTGATAGGGAGACCAAACTCCTTCAAAATGTTTGGTTCCTTTTTTTAGTCAGGTTACCATGATTTCTGAAACACTATATAAGTAGTTAAGGAATTCTGAGCGTTTCTTTGAATCTTAACGAAACATGTTCCTGTGGCAGATTAATTTCCCTAACTCCATAAAAACCCCTGACTTTTTTTTTTTTTTAGCAATAAAGAGGTTCTTAGAGTCAGTGTTGTTGCCTCCATGACTTCTCACCACCTGCCCCCATTTTGGGAAACAGGGATCACACAACAGACAGCAGCAACAAGCCTGCAACAATCCCACAGAAAGTGCACTCAGTATTTGACTCACTACTAAAAATTAAAAAAAAAAGGCATGTGGAAAATATTGCAAAGAGTCAGACAAGAGTAAGCTTGAAATAAAGAGATATAGAGAAAGAGAACAGCAAAGACAAATTTTTAAATATTTCAAATCTGGCTTTCCAGTAGGTGACTTTTCTCTCAGTCAACCATTGATTGTTTTGCAGTGTTTTGAAAGAAAACCTTAGGCATCTAAGTATTTAATTGTGTATTGGTCATGTTGCCTTTACTTAAAGTAGGGAGATGATGCAGGAGTTTCCCATCACAGATATTCTGAACAAACAATGGGCTCTTCAGTGAAAGTTTCTGTTTGGATTTAGTGTTGAGTGTGCACAGAAGCCATTCAGGGCCTAGATATATTTTATCATCTTTCTTTTCTTTACTCTGTTCAAATGACAGATATTTATATTATATTCTGAGCCAACAAAGCACCTTGATTTAATGTTTTTGACAATAATGGTCATGACACTATTTGAGTGATTTAGAGAGATAACTTTCTCTTGCAAAAAAAATTACATCATCTAAAAATAATTTTGTGATATAGCAAAGGTATTAAACAATTGGCCTAGAAAAATGCTTCAATAAGTCATCCTGGCCTTCAGAAAGGAAGGGAGTGGTTTAAAGATCATAAATATTAAAAGAGTAAAATGTCCGTTTTTTTTTTTAATCAGATGGAAATTCATTGAGGTTTGAGTATGGATATAAAATCAGCTGTATTTTCAGGAAAATAATACTCCTCTATTCAGTTTTAGCTTAACTACCTAAGATGGTTAATGTTCACATAAAAAATGCTAACATAATTGTCCAGTTGTAACATTGCAGGTGTTACATACAAATATATGTGTGTATGTGTGTGTTCATGTTATTTGCATCATACATGCAAATATTTTGGACAAATATCTATTTCACTCAATTATTTATTCTTCAATGATAAAATACAGACAGTTCTAAGTAGTAGCTCTGGTTACAGATATTATATCATAAATATACACTTATGACACTTGCCATGTTTATATGCATGCATTTTGCATTAATTAAACAAACCATTTCTCATATTATTTTTTAAAATTTAAGTGGAGTAAAATTAGCAAGTTCTCTTGAATTTCATAACTATTTTCAGAAATAATATTTTAAACGCACAAGTGAATACAATATGGGAAAAATGAAAATGCTTGACATCATGAGATACCAGGGAAATGCAAATCCAAGCCACAATGAGATATAATCTCAGACCTGTCAGAATGCCTTCTTCCTAAAAGAAAAGAAATAACAAATGCTGGCAATGATGCAGAGAACATAAAACTTTCTACACTTTTATTTCATATATTAGTGATACTGGGTATGCATGTGCTAGATAAATGGCAACTTTTGGAAGTCAGTTCTCTTTTCCACATTATTGAGGAGAAGCTGTTCTTGTTTTTGTTGCTTTTTAGTGATTCTCCAACCTCAGACTCCCATCTCATTGTAGGAGTACTGTGATTCCAGATCACATATTACCACATCCAGTTTTTTACATGAGATCTTTAAGAGAACCAAACTTTTCAAACTTGACATACACACCAAGTTATTTACTTACTGAGTCATCTCTTTAAGCCTAGAAAAAAATTCATTAATGGTAGAATTATAATCATTATAGCCATATGAAAAAAGAATGAGATTTCCTTAAAAAACTAAAAAGACTTCTAATATATGACTCATATGTCTCTTGTGGGGATATATCCAGAGAAACTCTTTACCCTTTTATCTATTGCCCCCATTCACAATAACCAAATAAAAACACCACAAAGGAGTGCACTGATGGATGAATGGACAAGGAAAATGTGTCTTATACATGGAATAGAATATTATTCAACACAGGAAATACTGATGTCCTGTCACTTGTAGAACAATAGAATGGGATGGTGGTATTGGGTCAACTAAAATAAGACAGACACAGAAAGGCAGATAATGCATTATCATTCATATGTGGTATCTAAACACACACACACACACACACACTTATCTAAGTAGGTCAGAATACAATAGTGATTTCTAGAAGTTATCGTCAAGGTTAGGAGAGACAGAAAACTGACAGCATGTGCCAAAATACAGGGAGACAAGATAAGAAATGCTAACCACCCTGATTTCATCATCCTACATATAATATTTAATGATAAGTACAATTATTATTTACTAAATGAAGGCTATGTTTTTAAAAAATGAAATAATGTTGAAGTTTTAAACAAACACTTCCTTAGGAATACCCAAATATACAAATTGTGGAGGGGAAAATACGGTCCTCAAAAAGAACCTGCAAATTCTTCTACTATAGAAAATGCATTAGGAATGAAGAACTCCCAGGGTTGCAGCCGCAGATGCCTACAAATTCCAGAAAGAGAGAGTTCCAGTCCATAAAGCAATTGTGCAGCCAGAGAGAGAGAGCAGCCCTGATAAAAGGATCACATCTACAAGAATCAGGTGAGGTAGAAAGTCTCAGTGTTGTGGGATCATCTTTTCAAAGGGGAGGGAGGTTAGAATGATTTGTGAAAGTGTTAGTTTATTTATATTGTCAATCAATGGTTCTAACTGAATACCGTTCAGGATAAATCTTGACCTTTGCTTTTTTCCTAATAACAAATTTAGTCTTCAAATGACTAGTTATATCTTCCACATAATCACTCTTAAAATACTGTGTTCTATAAACACTAAAATAATTGTTATCATATATCACAAAAGCATAAACCTATAATGTACCTTTTTAAATTTGGCAATTCAAACATTTCATAATCCTGAGTGTTATGAAATATACCTATACTCCCTTATTGGCAAAGTAACTTGCCAGAAATAAATGCCAAAGTGGGTGGTGGGTCCAAGTCTTTTTCCTTGTTTTCTCTTGTTATTTTTAGACCACACTGGGAAGTCACCACACTATTCTGGAAAACTGTTCTGTGAAGAATACAGAATCTTTCCATTCCCTCTTGATAACAGTGTGGGTGCATCAATCTCAATATCTATACCAAATTTTGAGTTAGAGGATATATCACTTTTGCGAAATAACTTCAAATGCCATAATAGCTCATGAAAATAGGAGCTTATGGTGATGTTGATGAATGGAGCTTTTCTCTATACATAGCTTTCCTCAGATTGGCTCATCAGAACTTCTTGGTTTCTAGATATAGGTTTGAAATTCACGTGCTCATTTACTGGCTTAATTTATCACACGTGTGGCCGTTCATGTGAAGAATGATGATGCAGGCATGTGGAAGCTCTGGAATGTCCTTTCCCCATCGTTATAGAAAACTAAAAACAATTTCCCCTAAGAAAGCTGAATCCATTAGTGTCACCATCAAAGAGTTGAAAAAAATCAATGTTTTGATTTATACTGCTTGCCTGTTTACCCTGCCTCATTGACTTATTCAGCTGGTAGACTGACCTCAGAGGACAAAACTTGAGCAGGTGATGATGGTGGTTACAGCTGTTTCTTCTGTTTTAGTGTATTGCTGTGGGATAAAACACAACAAGCACCTGATACACAGCTTAGCTTTGAAAAGTATCCTTTAAATACATTTAAAGTGTGGTTAGACAGAAACAGCCCATTCTCATGCAGAATGAACAAAAATATATCTGAATGTTCATTTCAGTGAAATGTGTCAATTTCTGCTCTTCTCACTTTACCTGTAGAGATCACTGTCCCATTGTGTTAAAATAGGAGCGGCGGGGCTGCATGTCCAGCACCCCGGCCACCTGCTAGCTTATGCCCCAAAATAACAACACACAAACTGTATTCATTTAAACACTGCTTGGCCCATTTCTATCTAGCCTCTTCTCAGCTAATTCTCGCACCTGGACTAGCCCATTTCTAATAAATTGTTTGTATCTCCCCAAGGTGCGCTTACCGGGAAGATTCCAGCCTACGTCCATCCTGGGTTGGAGCTGCCTGGGAGAGCGGAGCCTGGCGTCTCTGCTCCAGAGAGCAGAGCTGTCAAGTCTGAGCTCACTTCCTCTTCCTCCCAGCATCCTATTCTGTTTACTCCTCCCACCTATGTTTTAACCTATCAGGGCCAAGGAGTTTCTTTATTGCTTAACCAATATAATCAACAGATTGATATATGACACTCCCCCATCACCATTGTCTCTTAGAAAATTTGCTCCGTTATATGGAAGACATCACATTGACTGGACCAAATAAGCCAAATGTGGTGAATATCTTTGGAAGACATGTCCATGTCATAAAATACAAAATACACCCATGAAAATGAAGTTTTACAACATGGTGTATCTAGGAACCCAATGGTCTAAAGCATCTCTGGAAAATCTCCCAGGAGCAAAAGACTAGTTGTTATACCTTACATTGACAATTGCTAAAAATGTGGACATTGGGATTTCTTCTCATTTAATGTTAAAATGGCATATAATCAAATGATCCGACCCATCAACTGGATAATAGAGAAGGCTACCAAATCTTGACGAGAATAGATGGCTATGTAGCATGTAGGCTGCTATACAAGCTGGCCTGTCACTTGAGACCTATGCCAGAACAGATTTAGTGGCACTTCCATCAACAAATGAAGACGGTCTATAGATGTCAACATCCTGCAAAGAGAACAAAAGTGTGAATACTAAGATTTTCTAGAACAAAGCCACAGCGCTATCTTGGTGTCTGTGCCAGGTCTAACATCCTGTAACATACAGAAACATGTATTTACATACAGAAACATGTATTTTCCTTTGCCGTTTACTCAGCTATCCTCTAGAACAACTTTACCACATGTATGTTCAACTCTACCACATGTATGTTCAACTGCTTCTCTAACTAATGGCCTACAAAACTAAGAAGGTTCTAACTTGTTAACCTGGAATTGAAGTGATTAAAAATAAATCTTTCTTTCTCAAAAAAAATATGCAGTAAGAAAGGACTAAGTCAAAATTAAACATAATACTGAGTACTTCAACTTTAGGTGTGATGTGCTGCTTGGTGAACATATGTGTGCTCATTAAATTAATCTATTATTACAGGATCTAGCTGCTTAAAACATAAATACTGTCTCCACAATAAAAATCTTCTAAATATGCATAATGTTAGAAATTCAATTTAATCCTGTTTTCATTGAGAAGCTACTAGTATTAGAAACAACACAAATCTGTGTCAGCAAAATACACACACAAACACACATTCACACACACACAAGAAAAAAGAGGGAGAGAGGGATTCATGTATGAGTTTTAAAACATAATCTTGTAAAGTTTAGGAACTCAACGTACTAATAATTCTATGAATGTCAAAATTAGCAAATCATTGCAAAATTCTTCCAGAGTCTGATTACATACCACTGCATGATTGATTGTCCTGGTATGAAGCACATTTGGGGACATCTGCAGCATTGGCTTGTAGCATAGTTGTCCTGAGGCTTAAGTGAGTTTTGGTGTTTACCTTCTGGCATGCAGGTGTCTGTATTGCTTAATTTAATGCCAAAGGCACTCTTGTGAAACACAAAGGTTAGGGAAAGATATGGTAAACAGTAGGGTTGAAAGGCAAGGTAGTTATGTCAGGTGAAAGGCCACAGAAATCTATTTTAGCACCTGCAGAAGTATGTGGATATTTATATAACAGTCTCCAGGGATTTATGAGAAATGTCAATGTAAGACACACTACCTTTTCTTCACTTGTTTCTTCCAGCCATCTGTTGGTAATATGTTCAGAGAGTGGATGATCTGACAAAGTAGGAAACACAACAAACGGTAAGGCTTCGAGCCTTGCATAGCAAAATACAAAACAAAGATCAAAGTCCCAGGAAAAACTGGTGATTTTTTGGTTTTCTCAAAGAACAGCCCAAAGCAAGGAAAAAATCCCAACTTCTAAACAACCAGAATACCAGGAAAACATAAACAAAGTATGTTTATCTTATACCTACCACAGCATTTTCTTGTGTCCCTTTTCTGGTTAAGCTGTTGGGCAACTGGACACACTACAATGGACATCCTGCTTTAATTTTCTCAGAGTGAGAAATTATTTTGAAGTTCTGGTAATAGCTCTTGTGAAACAGAATTCAGGAAAAACTCACATGGGCAAATGCGTAAATCTATGAAAACCCAACATACAGTAAAATGAAAATAAGCTCCAGAAGACAACAAAAAATTCCAAGCAATTTAGTTCTATGTTGATAAAGGACCAACATCTTTGAAGGAAAAATGCTCACTCTGTAAAGACAGTTTTGCCCTATCAGCTGGACTTCTTCCTTCATAACCATGGAGTAGACCAGAAGACAAACTTTTTCTTTCTATGACAGTAATATCCACAGCCAGACATTAAAATGTCTCACTGTCCAATGTCCCTTATGATTCCTTGAAGCTAAAAGAGGGCAATAAGTTTATTCTATGTTCTTTTATTGGCACATTACTCTAACTTTATAAAAATATTTTATTCCATCAATTCTATAGGAACTTTTAAAGACTGCCTTGGTAGCCAGACAATTGAACTTAATGTGACTAATGCAGTGTCTTTATCACATTAACCTAATGCTCAATATTTTCTCAGTATGTCATTTTTTAATACTTATGAATACAAAGAAAACTGAATCAGAAAACATAGTGTGTGACTTAGCAGAAATTTAGAATTTAGTATGTTTTAAAAATTTATAATTATTTCTTCTTGGTAGGCAGAATACAGGATGCTCTTGAGCCCAATATCATTTTTAAATTCAGATATATTTTTTAGAGCATCTTTCAACTTCTCTGTCTTCCTTTTCTAACTAGTACTTAGTTATTATTACCAGATCATTCTCTTTTCTTTTGAGACAGGGTGTCATGCAACCAAGACTGACTGGCTTCAGTTTCACTATACAACTGAGAAGATAACAACTTTAAACTTGTGGTCTTCCCGCTACCACATCTTAACCATTGGGTTAACAGGTATGCACTATCACACCTGGTTTACATAGTGCTGAGGGTCAAACCCAGGGTTTCATGCATGAGAGACATATTTTATCAACTGAGGTGCATTTCCATCTAAATCTCTTTTTTTCCCATATATGGTACGGGGAGTATTAGGAGGGTGGTTAAAGGACTTATGGGAGTTGGCTCTCTTTCCATCGTGTCCACCCCTCCTAAATCATTTGATCTTACTAGATCAATACCTAGCATTTGTGAGATTTGGAGCCAAGTATACATCATTTTGTCTATATGCTTGAGTCATGAATCAAGCTAATAAACATAAAATAAAATTGAGCTATTTCAAACAGCTGAATGTTGGTGTCCCAAAAATTCTACAACAGAATGCATAGCCAAGGAAGTGCTAACTTCTAATTTTTATCCTTTGATCCTATGATCTCATCTCTCCTTTTATCAACTTGGTAACATGCCCTACATGGACATGTAAGTATCATGGCCAAGTGTTGGCATTCACACTTAAAGCATGTAACTATCCACTATTCTCCACCAAGAGTAAAAATGCATAACATGGACAATCCTTAGGAGGACATTCCTTATGGACTTTTGGACCTTCTAAGCTAAATATCTGGGGGTCCTGAGAGCTGGAACTATAAGGTAAGTGAATACAATCCGTTGTTCCAAGGAAGAACACAATTGGAAGCAGCCCAAAGATGTTCCTTCAACATTCACAGGGAGCTGGACAAGGGGTGTTTTTGCTCTTAATTATTAGTAAAACTGGGTCTTTCTTATTACTCTGTTGTCTTTGATTCATTATGCTTATAAATGATAAGTACAAAATTATGGTACTATAAGTTCATTCTTCAACTTAGAATGAAAGCATCACAATCTAAGTACTTGTTTAACACAAAAACGTTTGAACCACATTAGATTCTTCTCTTAACTCACCATTTCCATTGTTTTTATTCATTAACTTAAACACCTCTAGCACCAATAATCTCGTTCTAACTCAAATAGCTGTTAACTCTTTGTCATCCTAGATTATAATAATAATAGTTTCTTAACTCCATTTTCTACATATGCTATGTCCTACCTCAATTCATTCCTTGCCATTTGAAGGATATTTTGTGATGAAAATAATGTTATCTGTAAATAGTTTTATGCCCACTCACTGCAGAAATAGTAAACTGAGCATGTGAGTTCACCATAGACAGTTTCTTTCACCATTCCTCCAGTATCTTCATTGAGATGGAGAAGGTCCTTCATCTCGATCTTCTTCATATCTTTTTACCACACTGGGCTACACACCATTTTCAGAATAGTTCATTCCTTTTCACTTTTATTAATTATCCATGCTATTTCATCTACCTGGAATGCTATTCTTCAGTTTTATTACACGTGAACTTTCTCATTTTCTAAGTCCTGTCCAGAATTTAATTATTCATGTGTCACTTATCTTTAGCTCCACTGGATTGTGTCTAACATTACATAGCATTTATGAAATTAGCATAATTCATTTTGGGTTTAATTTACATTAACATTCTCTTAATTTAGATTGCCCGCAGAGGCACACCATGAGAAAAAGATTTGTATGGAAATAATTCATTTGATGCAGGAATCATAAATACAGAGTAAAAAGATATGGAAAGAAAAGAATTCAGCCAATTTAAATCAAGCTAGACAACAGTGTGGGCAAGTTTGGGATATCTACCCTCTTAAATGACATAAGGCAAAAACTCTAGATGATTAGAACTATTTAGGAAAAGCTAATTTGTTTTTTATTTCAATAAGAAAAACAAAACAAAATTATTTATGGTGTAGTTCAAAAATAAGATATTTCAGTCAAAGGTCTGGTGCGCATAATCATTTACCATGTTCAAAATAGATAAATGAAAGAGGAAAAGAAAAAAACAAACTGAAGGAAGCTGTAAGGGGATTAGAGAGATAGAAAAAGCTAAACAACAATAAATACACCATTAAGTCATATAATAAAGACACTCCCAATGTTTTTTACTGAAAATAGATTCTTCTATCATCTGGTACATCCCAACCAGTTTCCCCTTCCTCCACTCCTTCTAGCTCCCTGCCACGTGCCTCCCACTCCCTTCCACTTCCCTTCCATCTCCCATCAGAAAAAAAAGCAGACTCTCAAGAGACAACTAAACACTACAAAACAAGATACAATAGAACAAGACAAAAACCCTGATATTGAGGCTGGACAAGGCAACCTAATAAGAGGAAAAGAGTCCAAAGAGCAAGCAAAAGAGTCAGAGACACATTCTCTCCCACAGTTAGGAGGTCTACAAAAACACCAAGCTGTTAAACCACAATATATATTCAGAGGACCTGGTGCAGACCTATACAGGCCTGGTGTTTGCTGCTTCAGTCTCTGATCCCTACATACACATACTGCTTAGTTGCTTTGGTGGGCCATGTTCTCCTGGTGTCCTCCATCCCCTCTGACTGCTACAATCTTTCCACCTCCTTTCCCTGAGATTCTCCTAGCTCTAAGTGGAGGGACCTGATGAATTTCTCTGATTTAAATGATCTTTGTATAATGTCTGGCTGTGGGTCTCTGAATCTGCTCCCATTTGCTGCTAGAGAAAGCCTCTCTAAGAATGACTGGACAAGGAAGGCACCAATCTATGAGTATAGTAAAATACCACTAAAAATAAATTCATTGATATTGTCTTACTTAGTGTTACAGTTGGTCCTAAGAAATACCATAACCAAAAAGCAAGATGGGGAGGAAAGGGTTTATCTGGCTTACACTTCCACATTGTCATCCACCACTGAAGGAGGAAGTCACAACAGAACTCAAACAGGGCAGGATCCTGGAGCAGGAGCTGATACCGAGGCCACGGAGGAGAGCTGCTTACTTGCTTGCTTCCCTTGACTTGCTCAAACACACCTTCTTCAAGAACCCAGAACCAACAGCCCAGGGATGGCACCACCCACCATGGGCTGGGCCCTCCCCCATTGACCACCAAATGAGGAAATACCTTACAGCTGGATCTCATCAAGTCATTTCCTCAACTGAAGCTCCTTCCTCTGATGATCCTAGCTTTTGTCAAGTTGACACACAAATCCATCCAGTATGTTGTTTTTCTTTTCACCAGACACGCTTGGTTCTACCATAGGTCTCTGGATTATCCAGTCTTCAGTTCCCTACCTTTCAATCGGTGTTGGGCATGGGCTTCCTCTTGTGGGGTGGATCTCCAGTTAAATCAGGTATTGGCTGGCCACTCCCACAAGTTCTGTGCCACCATTGCCCCAGAACATCTTGCAGGCAGGAGAGATTATTGATCAAAGGTTTTGGGGCTTGTTGGTGTCTACATTTCTCTTTTGATAGCCTTCCTGCACCAAAGAGAACAGAACACATGAGTGACGACTCCATGTAAGCAAGCAGCTTGACCTCTCCAATGAGTCATTTAAATGTTGTCCTTGGCAATGAGGTCTGGCTAGAAGTTTGCAGAAAGCAACCCTGTCCTAGCATCAATCTGGGTTGTTTAGGTATCTCCATAGGACCTCCTTGGCCAAGAACTCAACCAAATGCAACATAGGCCCACAAGAGGAATCCTTGCTTGACTACAAGAGATGGCCACTTAACACTCCATATCCCCCATTAGGAGGAGTCCTCACTGGAATTACCATCATAGATTCTAGGAAGTTTCCACTGCCTTGGGTTGTCACACTGCCCCTCAAATGCACCCCAGTCATTTTCTCTGATTCTCTCCTTCCATCTCATCCCCCTCCAGCCCAATCTGGTCCTTCCCACTCTCTCCCCAACCTGGCCCCGTTCTGCTCACAAAATCAATTCTATTTCACCTTCCCAGGGAGCTCCATGAATCCTGCCTAGACCTCTTTTTTTTTTTTTTTTTACTTAAAATCTCTGGCCTGTTTGGCTAGTCTGTTGACAGGGAATGCCTGCTGGTAGTGAAGGCTAGAATATAGCCACAAATGGGGGAAAGAGGCAAGAAAGGGATGTTTCCTGGGATACACAGGACTTGTGGGCAGGAACCAAGGCCTATGAAGGGCTAAATGTGATACTATACTGATGGTATTGTAGCCAGGCTGTTTGTCCTGTAGCCTTTCATGGCAGTGAAGGAAGATTTACTGTAGCACAAAGTATGCACAAAACTTCCTTTGGAGTAACTGTTAACTCTCCCTGTCACTCAGTTATTTGGCCATAAGTTATTGAGACTCACGTTGTACCAGAGAGAATGTGAAGTTCTGGTGAAGACAGACAAAAGGGAAAAATACTGTTCACCTCAAAGAGTTGATCATGGAACTGAATAGAGGGCTCAGAAATGAAGAGCGTGCATCTCTCTTTCAGAGGATCTAAGTTAGCTTCCTAGCATCCACAGCTGTTACTCCAGTTCCAGAAATGTTCAGCTACTGACTGCTCTGTTAAAGCAGAATAAGACGCACATTGAGTCAGAAGATATAAGGAAATACTAGGGAAAAGGAAAATAAAGCTATTAAGGGAAGAGGGGTAGTTAAGACATCTGATATAGGGCATTAGGCAGGACTGGAGATGCTTCGGCACATGCAGTGAAAATGCAAGTCAAGAAGACTCTGCACTACAGCATCAATAGAATTTTGACAGCTTTGCATTTAAAAGGGACCAAGTTTCACAATCCCAACCTTGACTCAACTTCAATAATATATGAATACTGCCACAGTTTGAAAGGAATTCCTTGTATTACAAAACCTTCATGTTTCATAGAGTAATGAAACCCCTTCCTAAGTGTAGAGAACTTCAAACTCTTGGTGCTCCTATTTGGAGCTGACTTATAAAAGAATTTAATACAACTATGTAGCTAAATATACATACAAATATATTTTTTCTTTCAATGATATATGAAAATTTTTGTTTTGTTACCATACTAAAATATTGTCTAATTAAACGAGTAAAAATTACTCATTATTAAAGCATCCCACCTTCAGACAAAAGTGAAGCCTCTAATTTTTCTAGAGTGTGTTGTAAGAAAAAGGACTTTGCTTTAGTCCGATGCAAGGAAAGGTTGCCATACAAAGGATCACAGTCTCTTCCCCATCCTTGATCATTTCAGCTTTGTCATAGACTGTGGTTTTGGGGGGATTATTCAGGAGTGAAAATGTATTTTATTAAGAATTTTTCTCTAATCAAAATTCTAGTGCTGAAGTATTTTCATTATCTATATAGAACTTAGCATGTTTAGCAGTTGAAACTGAATTGAAGTGCTGAGTAACTAAATGAACTATATATTCACACAATCAGCCCTTCTAAGTACTAGAAATAAAATCCAGTATCCTCAAAGAGCAGTGTTTTCCTTGTTATTTAATTTACTTTTGGTATTACTATCTTATAACGCTATATAATTGCTTGACAAAATCTTGGCACAACTTAATTTTGACAGAATCTTGAGCAAATCTACTATCTATGCTGTGAACATTTCTTTATATTTTGAGTCTGGGTAGTTATAGGTTATATCATTTCCTTTTACAAATAGGTTACAGATCTGTCACTCTTTTACTACTCTACCAAGCTGTGACCTAAGTTGAGCAGCATATTTCACCCTGATACTATTTAAATCCCCCCTGCTCCTGGTCTCTTTTTCCTCCTCCTTCTGTCTGTATTGCCTACACCCATTAGATTGATCCTAAAGCTCTGGACCAGTGAGATTGTTCAGCAAGTAAAGAAAGATGCTTGCTGCACAAGCTGGGCTCCCTGAGTTCTATCCACACAGTGGAAGAAGAGATCAGACCCCTGCAATTAGTCCTCTGGTTCTACAGTAATACAAATATACACACAAATAATTCCTAACTTTTAATCTATAATCTGATCAAGGCCTGAAGTCACAAATCACTGCCTCAGAATAAGAGTCCAATACTTCATGACCTTACATAACCCGGTCCTGATGGTGTCTCCCAACTCCATGCTCTTGGCACTCAGGTTCCTGAACTGGACATGCTGTTTCTTGTCACTTTTGTTAGCTTTCTTTAGAACAATTTTCTCTCCTTATCATATAATTAACTGACTCTCACCTCTCCGTATGCCCTTCGGTAAACTTTCTTTGGCACTCCTCCAACACCTGAAGTAGTGAGGTGCCTCACTTCTAAGATCCCAAAGCACCTTGGGCACACATCAATCATGGCAGTTTTCCAGCTGCAATACAAATGCAAATTTGCATTCCTATCTCTGCCACTATTCTTGAACGTCCTAGAGGTAGGAGCTCACTTTCATCTCTGCATCAGTGGGGCTTCCAAGCACAACAGCTGAGTCTTAGGACTGAATACATAAAGAAACAATTTCAAGTGAATACACGAAAGGATGAATACATTGGAAGAACTTTTATCTTTTACTAAACTTGTTCTTTGACAAATTCATACTTGCATATAATGTGTTCTGATTACTGTCACCCTCACACTCTCTGGCCTCCTTCCTACCCCAATGACTTACTCCCTCATCATAAATCTGCTTCCCACATGTGTGTCTTTTTGTCCAATAGAGTAGAATTTCTATAGAACTAATATATAAAAGTATAATTAGTATATGACAAACCAAAGAAAAAAGGTTCTGTTACAGATAAAAAGCCTAACAGATAAAAGGAATATGTACAACCTTCTGTCTATGCAATTGCTAAAGAAATTCTAAATCAGCAGTTTTATTTTTCAGTTGTATGTTACAGTGAACTTCACCCCTTTTTATTGATTTTTATTGAGCTCTACATTTTTCCTCTGCTCTCCTCCCTGCATCTCCCCTCCCTTAAAATCCTCTCCCAAGGTCCCCATGCTTCCAATTTACTCAGGAGATCTTGTCTTTTTCTACTTCCCATGTAGAATAGATCTATGTATGTCCCTCTTAGGGTCCTCATTGTTGTCTAGGTTCTCTGGGATTGTGATTTGTGGGCTGGTTTTCTTTGCTTTAGTTTAAAACCCACCTATGAGTGAGTACATGTGATAATTGTCTTTCTGGGTCTGGGGTACCTCACTCAAAATAATGTTTTCTAGCTCCATCCTGCAAAATTCAAGATTTCATTTTTTTTCTGCTGTGTAGTATTACACTGTGTAGATGTACCATAATTTCCTTTATCCATTCTGTGGTCAAGGGGCACTTAGGTTGTTTCCAGGTTCTGGCTAAGATAAACAATGCTGCTATGATCATAGTTGAGCACATGTCCTTGTGTTATTATTGACCATCTTTTGAATATATACCCCAATGTGGTATTACTGGACCTTGAGGAAGGTTGTTCCTTAATTTTCTGAGAAATCACCACACTGACATCCAAAGGGGCTATACCAGCTTGTGTTCCCACCAGTAATGCAGGAATGTTCCCTTTTCCCCACAACCTTTCCAACATAAGTTGTATTCAGTGTTTTTTATCTTGGCCATTCTTACAGGTGTAAGATGGAATCTCAGAGTTGTTTTGATTTACATTTCTCTGATGACTAAGGATGTTGAACATTTCCTTCAGTGTCTTTCAGCCATTTTAGATTCCTTTATTGAGAGTTCTCTGTTAAGGTCTGTACTCCATTTTTTTATTGGATTATTTATTCTTTTTTTTTAAATATTTATTTATTATGTATTCAATATTCTGTCTGTATGTATGCCTACAGGCCAGAAGAGGGCACCAGACCTCATTACAGATGGTTGTGAGCCACCATGTGGTTACTGGGAATTGAACTCAGGACCTTTGAAAGAGCAGGCAATGCTCTTAACCACTGAGCCATCTCTCCAGCCCTGGATTATTTATTCTTTTGATAAACAATTCTTGAGTTCTTATATAAAGAACTTTGCTTTGCTCCTTTTGATGGTATTGTAATCCTCAACATGTAGTGTGGGAAGTCCTTCTGTATATGTGTTGCTTTTATTGGTTAATGAATAAAGAAGCTGTTTGGGCTTATGACAGGGCAAAATAGAGCAAAACAGAAATTCCAAGAAGAGATAGAGGAGAAAAGAATGTGGAGTTAGAGAGATGCCAAGTAACCACTAAAGAAGACAGAACCTTACCAGTAAACCACGAGTCTCATGGTAAAATTCAAAATAATAAGAATGGGTTAATTTAAGATGTAAGAGTTTGTTAATAAGAAGCTTGAGCTAACTGACCAAGCAGTGTTGCGATTAATATAGTTTCTGAGTAATTATTTCAGGTCTAGGAGGCTGGGAAATGAACAAATAGCCTCTTACTACA